TGTGTGTGTGTGTGTGTGTGTGTGTGTGTGTGTGTGTGTGTGTGTGTGTGTGAAATTCTGTAACCCATAGTAAGCCCGTTCTGTGCTGTCTACACAAGATACCTTCGTTCTGTAATCAAAGCTGCATCCTACCACTTTTTCTATGGGAGGTAATTGAGCTTTGCCAATAAAATTAGAAGAACGAGCACTTGCAAATGGAGGTCAGTTTATATTTCAAATGCTGTATGTTTTGAACGTCACTTTGACGGGGTTAGGAGAATCACCCTAGAAACTGGGAGGCCATCAGTTCTAGCCCTGCCTTTGGCATGAAACAGCTATCTGATCTTTGGCCGGTCGCTTTCTCTGAGCCCTAGAAAGAGGGAAATTCAATTGATCAATCAGAATAGACCTGGAAGGGACCTTGGAGGTCTTCTAGTCCAGCCCCCTGTTCAAGCAGAAGAACCTATACGATTTGAGACAAGCGGCTGTCCAGTCTCTTCTTAAAAACTTCCAGTGATGAGGCACCCATAACTTCTGAAGGCAACTTCTGTTCCACTGGTTGATTGTCCTCACTGTTAGGAAGTTTCTCCTTAATTCCAGATTGCTTCTCTCCTTAATTAGTTTCCATCCATTGTTTCTTGTCCTGCCCTCTGGTGCTTTGGAGAATAAGTTGACCCCCTCTTCTTTGTGGCAGCCCCTCAAATACTGGAAGACTGCTGTTCAAATCTAGCACAGCCAAAAATACCAAACAAGCCCACGTTACAGGGAGTCCTTGACTTACAATCATTTGTTTAGCGACCAGTTACAAAACACTGAAAAAAATTGACTTATGACTCGGACTTACAACCGTCACAGAATTCTCCACAGTCACATAATCAAAATTTGGGCAATTGGTGTGTGTTTACAATTGTTGTAGTGTCACGTGATGGCCCTTGGACCTTCCCAGCCAGCTTCCAAAAAGCAAAGTCAATGGGGGGGGGGGGGGGGGGGAGGCTGGATTCCCTTAATGAATGGCAAACCACTTCTGAAAAACCTGGCCAAGAAAACTGCAGGGACTTGTCAGGACAATCTCCAAGAATCAGACACGATGGAACCAAAGGGGGGGAAAAAAACGTGTTAAGTTTTATCATGCAGGCTACAAAGATTGATATGGATGTGAAGAGAGGCGGTTACCTTCATTGTACATTTAAGGAAGAGAGAAGAAGGTTCTTTGGTTGCTCTTTAGCGCCATCTCTTGGTTAGAAAGGGTTACTTTAACCTTTTTTAAAGCGCCAGTTTTACTCGTCTATGGAGATTCTCAGTCATCCAGGTCATGGTTGTCCCAAAGGTGCGTTTTTCAAGAGACTGAAGAAGCTTCTTAGATGAGAAGCAAAACGTCTTCAAAGAAAAAAACCACAAAACCCAGTTGCCTCTTGAAAAAAGCACTTTTGGGACAGCGCGTTTACTCGCGATCTTCCCTCCTGAGCACTCACAGACCTGTCTTGTGCCAAATAAGACTATCAGAATGTGCATTAAAAGGATGTCACTGTGCCGCTCATTCTTTGGGC